GCCTTGGGGAGCTCACCCTTGGTGAAGGACACGGTTGGGGAGCTCGCAGCCGTGGCTGGTGCCAGTGTAGACGTGGAGNCGGGTGTCGAAGCAATGTACGGGGTCAGCCCGGGCGGTACCAAGAGGTCGCGCACGGCCTGAACCTCAGAATTACCAATCACGGCACGAGCCTTGTCGGCATCAAATGCTTTGGCAATCTGACCTCGGTTCAGACGGTTCGTGACGTGGTTTGCCCAGGCTTCGTCCGCCAGGTCCGGGTCGCGGACGAGCGACCTGAGGCTCTGGTCGACTGCGTCGTTCGGGTGGGCGCCCGCGCCGGCGTTCAGCTGTCCTCGACGGCTCTGCTTGCGTGCGACTGCCTTGCGCATGGCGTCCACGACCCGACCTAGTTGCCCCGTCACAAGCCAACGGAGACGATCGTGAAACATATTGCGCAGGTCAATCGTAGACAGTGCGGTCGAGGGAGCAGACAACAACATGCTAGGCAAGGCCAAAATCAAAGCCCAGCACATCTCTCGCTCTTCAGCGGTATAGTCCGAGTGGACGGCAGACCAATACAGCTGGCTCAAGGTGGCAGCCATCAGCTTGGTCTCGGTGGCGTTGGATGGGTAGCGGCTGCGCTGCATCAGTGGATGCCGGGCGAGCTTGAGCAGCTCGCAGACACTGATGCGAGACCCTACACACTGTTGGGGCCAAGCGCCACGCATAATCTCAAGCAGGTCGTGTCCAGCCGCATGAAACAACGCCTCGGTCGCTCGCTTCAGATTGGCACCACATCGGAAGCGGTGTTGACTGATACCAGCAGCTTCGAAGAAGAGGTGACACTTGTTGCACTGGGCGACCAATTTGGCCTCCATCACCTGCTTGATCAGATCAGTGGCTTGCTCGTCGTAATAAATTAGGTGTTTGAACCTCAGAGCTGAAAGCAAAGCTGTGCAACCCCGACATCAAAATCACGACGGCACGCAAAACAACACAAGAGAACAAGACATTTTCATCGGCTTCTATCATGCCGAAAAGTACAAGCGCGAAGAATCACGCACAAGGAAACAAAAATCATGAAAAACGACTAAGTATAACCAGAGATACGGCCATTTGAACCACTAGACACATAAAAAGGCAGTCACACATCACAACTACAAGCCATCACAGCACAAACATAAAAAACACCACGGCACGCTCACATACAACAAGAGACAGCGTCGGGTTGAAAAGGCAACCGACCACAGAAAGAAAAGTCATCATACAAAGGACTTTACAAAAATTCAGCAAAAATACCACACAAATACAGTCAAAATCAAAGTAAAATTAAAACAAAAATACAAGTCAAGCCATCAAAAGATCACAACGAGAACCACCTAGGGAGCAACAGGTGCACACAGGGATCCCCACAGAGGGACCCCCGAGACGGTGCCTACCTACGACGAGCGCAGGCAGGCACCGCCAAAGTGGCGCTGGATGTGGTCAGCGTTCATCTGATGGACCAGCGCCGCAAA